AAAATGCTACTGACAGTGTCTGAGGTTGAGCCTCTACAAAGGATAAAATGCTACTGACAGTGTCTGAGGTTGAGCCTCTACAAAGGATAAAATGCTACTGACAGTGTCTGAGGTTTCAAAGGATAAAATGCTACTGACAGTGTCTGAGGTTTCAAAGGATAAAATGCTACTGACAGTGTTCAAGATTTCAAAGGATAAAATGCTACTGTTACATACTGTGTTTACATACTCATTAAAATTTCCTCATGCTTTATAACTGATTACTTCCCCTTTTTGTCCATTTTGTGTAGTCAAAAGTGTGCAATATATTATATGCCAGTTGTGTAAAGTTATGATATTATGACATCCAACACCTTGCGAAAGACTTGCGTTATGGTGAACTGTATTCTGGGCAGTGAGCAATAGGTTGTTACACAATCACAAGAACATTGAAATGGCCAGACTAGCTTCTACTTCTACTTCTAAATGGTACTGACCAACTTCAACAATTTGAAGATAAAATGTCAGACGAGGAGTGAAACATGGAAAGAGATTGTTTTTAAAAGATACGAGATGGTCTAGCTGAGGGACATTTTAAAGCGCTTTCAGACTTGTTGAAGCTGATGGTAAATAATGAGATTACCCAATACTGTTGTGTAAGCAATAGAAGTACAATGGAAGATTATTACATAATATCATGAAACAGAGAAATTGTAGGATATTAAGGTTTCTGAGGAAGTTCTGTAATGTTTAAGGTGTTTATGATGTCACAGAAGATTCAATGAATAATCGTTTATGAAAGATGTAGACAATGACTTAGCTAGGAAGGCTTGTATTGTGTAGATATATTTATACGTTCCTGTGATGATGACGTTGGAGAATTAGAAGGATTGTTCTACACAGCTCTACAAATATAAAATATCTCTCATCTCTGTGACTGTCCCACCATCAGCTGTTTGAGTTATCTCCCTTTGATTTATCATGTGTTGTGATAAATTATTGCCTGAAAACAAAAACAAAATTATGAAAGATGCCCACTGTTCCACATGAAAACACATGTTTCATTATGCTGATTTAGTAACAGCATTTGAAAAAGAAGTTTCCAAACGAACAGAAAGTTCTTTTCTTTTAAATATCTTTAAAGTTTGAATTCATCACTTTGTGGACAAACAAACAAAATAAGTTCAGCATACAGTTCCGTGATTTTTTTTTGTGATGCTGGGTTTTCTGTTTATTAAGTATTATCTTACCATTACAATGAATAAAAACAATACATATCAAAGAAACTAAATAAAGAAAAAAAGAAAAAAAACTATTGGAATAAGTGGGATTGAAAACAAAAGGGACTGTCCTGAAAAATATATGATCATGCTAAAAATTGTTATTTTATCTCATACATCAGCTGTAATAGATTCACCATCATGGTTTCAGTTTTGAAGTTATAGACATTTATAAATTATAACAGATGTAGACCAGATTAATGTACAATTTTAAATGCTTGCCATATTGCTTTATTTGTTTTAAGCTATGATTGTAATTTATACAAGTAATGTCTTCCGACAAATCAGCATTGAATAATTCTGCAGGTATTTTCCCTTACCAACATCATGTCAGTTGTATTTATTAATGCATGTTATACCATCCTGTCATTACATTATTAAGGATGCTTGTACCAACATTCTGTCATTACATTATTAAGGATGCTTGTACCAACATTCTGTCATTACATTATTAAGGATGCTTGTACCAACATTCTGTCATTACATTATTAAGGATGCTTGTACCAACATTCTGTCATTACATTATTAAGGATGCTTGTACCAACATTCTGTCATTACATTATTAAGGATGCTTGTACCAACATTCTGTCATTACATTATTAAGGATGCTTGTACCAACATTCTGTCATTACATTATTAAGGATGCTTGTACCAACATTCTGTCATTACATTATTAAGGATGCTTGTACCAACATTCTGTCATTACATTATTAAGGATGCTTGTACCAACATTCTGTCATTACATTATTAAGGATGCTTGTACCAACATTCTGTCATTACATTATTAAGGATGCTTGTACCAACATTCTGTCATTACATTATTAAGGATGCTTGTACCAACATTATGACATTACATTATTAAGGATGCGTGTACCAACATTCTGTCATTACATTATTAAGGATGCGTTTACCAACATTCTGTCATTACATTATTAAGGATGCTTGTACATTGTACCACCATTCTGATTGATACTATTCACTAAGTCATTCTTGTTGAAAATAATCATTTGTCCCAATTTGGTTTCAAAGTTTCCTTGCAGCAAAATCTAGTACAGAAATAACTGTGTCACTTTTTGGAAAAAATCTTTGCTGCTTGATGTCTGTCTTTATGTTATACATTCCTTACCTCAAACATGACAAAACCTCTGTTTGATTTGCTGATGTTTATCTGTTCCATAATCTCCTGTGTTCACCTGTTTTAATTATCACTGTTTACTTGCAATCCCCTGATGTTCCCTGTCCAAAGCCTTGTGCTTAAACTTCTAAGTTCTGTGTTATATTGCAGGGGAAATAGGTTTGAAATATTTCATTTGCATCTAAATCTACATACTATTTGTTAAAATATATTTCTGGTAAACTCTTCAAGTCTGAATTTATATACTCTCAATCTTAATATATGAAGAATGAGATGGCTCTGAAAATCAGAAATAGTTTATTACAAAAAATTCTACTTACTTTGCATAACTTCTTAAAATTCCAAAACAATCCGTTGTAATTTATAACTGTATAACAGCTGTAGGGTACCAAGGACTGAGCTGTCATTTACTGTGATACAGACATAAAAACCTAAACGCTTGCTGCTTTCCTTTACTTGATGTTAAAGAAATAGTTTTCTGTTAAGGTAAAGAGTACCACTTCATCAGTTAAAGTCATGAAGAAGAGTTCCAGTCAGTACTTTTGACTTGGGAGTATTCCACCTATATAGGAGATGGAGTAACCTGAATTTGTTCTGGCTCAGAGTAACGTACTCTCTTTGTCAAGTGATGTATCTTTTCTATGTTCCTTGTTGCACAGGTTTTGTGGCCCATGATTGTGCATGTATTATTTCTGGATGGCAATATTTGTAAAGCATAGGCTTTGCAATTTAAAAGTCCTGAGTTTGACCCCTACATTTTCTTTTCATTTTTTTTTTTCAAACTTTCAAATTTTGAAAAACTGTAATTCTGTAAAATAGGACCTAAACAAGTATTTCACAATAGTGGCAATGGTATTCAGATTGATTAATTATTGACCTTTGTTGAGGTGAATATTTGGTTATATTAACTTGTGAAAGTGGTATAGACCGAGACAAAGTCGAGGTCAGTGTTATTTTCTAAGGTCTATGTAACTACATTTTCACCGAAATAACAGTCTATGTTATTAGCTCACCTGGTCCTATGGACCCAAGGTGAGCTTATGCCATACCGTGGCGTCTGTCGTCCGTCCGTCAACAATTTCTTTAAACGACTTCTTCTTAACCACTGATTGGAATTTAACTAAATTTGACTGGAAGCATCCCTAGGTGGTGGGGATTCAAAATTGTACAAATGGTGGGGCTGACCCCCCAGGGGGCTGAGGGGCGGGGCAAAAAGGGGGCAATTTGGCTAAACTGCTTTAAGCGACTTCTTCTCTGGAACTAAGTGATGGATATCAACCAT